GCTTCTCAGAAAGAAAAAAAAATCAATCTTACCTCACTTCTTAGCGAAGACCTATTAGCCAAAAGTGGCAATGATATATGTAAGCAGTGAAGCCTGGGATTTTCTTTCTAAAGAACTTATGTGAAGTGTCTTTCAGCAGATGTGACATTTATAAATACCCCACTTCGTATTTTTTGTTCTTCTTGGAGCATTAGCCTAAATTATTGAGAGAAAATGTTTGTGAGATATACTTTAGGTTTTGTGGGAATTTATTATAGTCCATCCTGCTAATAGAACACCTTTAGCTAAGAGAAGGAAAGCATGTTTCAGATATGCAATGAGAGAAGAGATAACTAACCAGGGCCTTTTTGCATTTTTACTAGAGAAACATTTGGATTGTCCTTGCATTCTACCCAGGAAGATTTAGTATGTTTGCCCCTTGTCACCCTGGCATGTGTTGGAGTTTGTTTGTTTGTTTGTTTGTTTGTGTTTGTAGCAGCTGCATGTAATGGATAGTGAGACAGCTGTGAAGCCAGGAAGACCTGGACTCAAGCTCTGTCACTAGCTGTGTGACCCTGGGCAGTTCAATGCTGTAGGCCACTGCCAACTCCCCACACCAATGAAATTCCAGGTCTGGTCCTTATCCCTATCTCATCTCCCTTACTGGTGGGATTTATCTTTTTTCCTTAATTTTCATCCAACTCAACCAAGCATAGTGCCTTATATTTAATAGGTGCTCAATAAATGTTCTTGTTTCAATTCTGTTCCACAAGTACTTTTTGAGCATCTACTAGGTACAAGGGGTTAGCTAGGTGGCATAGTGGATACAGCACTAGGCTTGAAATCAGGAAGACTTATCTTCTAAGTTCAAATCTGGTGTCAGACACTTACTGGCTGTGTGATCCTGGGAAAGTCACTTATCTTGTTTGCCTCAGTTTCCTTATCTGTAAAAATGAGCTAGAGAAGGACATGGCAAACTGCTCCAGTATCTTTGCCAAGAAAACTCCAAATGGGATCTGAAGAGTTGGAAAAGACTGCAAAACAAGTGAATAACAGCTAGGTGCAAGGCACTGTACTAGGTCTTGGGGATACAAAAATAAAGCAACAGCTTCTAACAAAAGGACCTCTTTAGAAATAACACACCCAAAGCAGATGAATTCTGAAGTCTGTTTTTATTGAGTTATTTTCCTCTATTTTGGTTCTAGTTCTCATTTTCTCTCAAGGAGGCTTGGCAGTGCTCCAGAGCGTAAAGCAGTTGGTACTATGTCATTTACAAACAGAAGCATCTGGAGGGCTTCACCATCAATAGGGAATCCCTCTTTGACGTGGACCTTACACCGGATCTCCTTTTAGGACAGTGTTGTGGCAAATGCCTTTTTAATGTCTCACTTAATATTTTACAAGGTTGTCTCTGTTTTATATCATTCAAGGAATCCTGACATAATATAATTTTGACATATGCATGGGAGATGCCTTATTGCAGGGGAGCCTTAAAGGACACAGTTCACTCTGTTGAATCAGATGTTTCTTGATAGTCAACAAACAATAAACACTGGGATCTTGTATTCCCAGTATCTTTCAGTCATTAGTGTGATGGAAAAGATACAGTCTACTGTGGAATATTACTTTCAAAAGCTTGTTTGTTCCCTTCTAATACTATTACCAGTTATGTTTTTTCATGTACATCTAGATAATTCACATAAAAATCTAATATATAGTACTAGGAAAGTAAGTTTCTGGGCTGATAATGTTTTCTTGGTCACCTTTCTTAGGTCATGATGAAGTTGTATATCATGTGAGATGTATAACAGTAGAGCAAACATTTATTAAGACTTTCTGTGAGCCAGACATTCTACTAAGCCTCAGTGGAGCTATATGCTTGCTGAACCTGGTTCCACCATCGTAGAGAATGTCTAATATAGGATCCAAACAGAAGCAAATTATGAGGACTTTCAAAAACTCCTATTTGTGGATGACTAATTACATCAAGCCCTGGAAACTACTTGATTGTCAAAGCATTGCAAAGCCTGCTAAATGAGATCCATGATCACTTAAAAGAATCCAGACACACAATACCAAATGGATGAAAATTGCTTCTTGTCCAGATTGTGATATACATTTGAATGGACAAAGCATAAAGCTGGTTCATTAGTATACATACATATCCATATACATACATACATATATGTGCGTATCTATATATGCATGTATAGATATAGATATAGATACACACACATACACACACACACACACACACACATTTTTGCAACAGATTTTGATTGGATAATGAATAGGACCCAGAGTTAAACAGAAGGAAAATGAATTGAATTCTTTTGGGAAATAGTGTTTTGTTTTTGTTTTTGTTTTTTGGGTTTTTTTGTTTTGTTTTGTTTGGTTTGGTGAGGCAATTGGGGTTAAGTGACTTGCCCAGAGTCACACAGCTAGGAAGTGTTATGTGTCTGAGGCCAGATTTAAACTTAGGTCCTCCTGACTCCAGGGCCGGTGCTGTATCCACTGCTCCACCTAGCTGCCCCTCTTTTGGGAAATTGTACAAGGTTTTTAATAATCCCAAGTTTCTTTTATGAAAAAGGCCCATCTTTTTTTTTAAATAAAATTTTATGGACATATTTTATTTTCATATTTTATAGCATACCTACTATAACTTTCTCTCCTCCCCTCATGGAGAGCCATCCCTCATAACAGGGGTCAGCAAACTACAGCCCCAAGGACCAAATCTATCAGGCAAAATTTTGCCAACCCTTGCCTTATAACAAAGAATAAAAAAGGAGAAAAAGAAAAGTTTAGCAAAATTAATTAGCACATCAAAAAATTCTGATGATACACAGTGTTCCACACTCTTAGTCACCTACCTCTGAAAGAAGGAGGGAGGTGAAAGGCACATCTTTTTAACATCATTATTCTTCCAGTGATGCTGTGAGACTTCAAAGCCATGGGATACCCAAACCTTAGAAGAAGTTGAGTCACCCAGAGGGTGATGAAGAGATTCATGCTAAATATTAATTCTATTTGACTCCAGACAGCAGAACCAGGAGATATGGATGGCAGTTACAAAGAGGGAAATTTAGACTTGATGTCAGGAAACACTTGCTAATAATTAAAGCTGTCCAAAAATGGAGTATAGGACAGGGTGGCCAGGTGGCATAGTGGATAGAACTCTGGGCCTGGAGTCAGGAAGACCTGAGCTCAAATCTGGCCTCAGATACTTATTAGCCATGTGACCCTGGGCAAGTCACTTAATCCTGTTTTCCTCAGTTTCCTCATCTGTAAAATGAACTGGAGAAGAAAATGTCAAACTACTCCAGTATCTTTGCCAAGAAAACACCAAATGAGGTCATGAAGAGTCACCCACAACTGAAAATGTCTGAACAACAACAAAAGTGGAATGGGCTACTGGGAGAAATGATGTGTTCCTTCTCTTTGGAGGGCCTAAAACAAAGGCTAGATGACCATTTGTTGGCTATGTTATAATGAGTATTCCTTTTTCATGTATGGATTGAGCTAAATTGTGAGCTCCTAGAGGGCATGGGCTGTCTTTTGCTTTCTTTGTATCTCCAGCACTTATCACAGTGTCTCACACACAACCTTGTAAAATATTAAGTGAGACATTAAAAAGGCATTTGCCACAACACTGTCCTAAAAGGAGATCCAGTATAAGGTCCACATCAAAAAGCTTATTGACCAACTGACTAGATGGCTGCTGAGGGAACTTCTGATTCTCAAGTTGTGAGTAGTCTACAACAAGTTACAAATGAATCATTGTGCTAGAGGACATCATTAGAGAAGTATATAACCAGAAAAGGGAGTAGACCAGTTATTGAGGGGGCAATCTAAGAGTAGTTAGGTGATAGAGTAGATAGAGCACAGGCCATAGAGTCGGGAATATCTGAGTTTGAATCCAGCCTCAGCTGTGTAAACCTGGGCAAGTCACATAACCTCTCTGTGCCTCAGTTTCCTCATTTGTAAAATGGGGGTGATGATGTTGTTTGTCCAAAGAGGACCAGTGACATCATGGGTGATGTCGTCTTGTGTGTGAATTGAATTTAAGTAAAGCAGAGTTGAACAAAATCATCAACCTCACTCTCCCTTCCTGAGACATGGAAGTCCAGTGGCAAGATGAAAGAGAAGATGACTGGCGATGTCCCAGGATGCAGTGGATGACATTGGCATCTTCTATGTCTGACCAAGCTCTAAGTGCTCTGCATCACCTGCCTCAGCTGCCTGCACAGCCGTTGAAACAAATTGTTTTCATCCGCTCATTCCTCCAGGGGAAGTCTTCTCATGCTTGGGGTAGACATCCCCCTAACTCACTGACGTGTTTGAGGTCTGTCAGTTACCCTTAACCTGGTTTAGTGCATCTGCAGAGATGGCTGCTGCATAAGCTACAGCAGGGATAATAATAGCACCTATCTCATAGAGTTGTGAGAAGCAATTAAATTAACATATGTAAAGTGCATTGCAAATCTCAGAGCTTACATAAATGCTAGCTTAAAAAAAATAGAAAGGGGGGAGGCTAGGTAGAACAGTGGATACAACATTTACCCTGGATTCAGGAGGACTTGAGTTCAAATTCAGCCTCAGACACATAACACAAATAGCTGTGTGACTTTGGGCAAGTCACTTAACCCCATTGCCTAGCCAAAAAAACAAAAAAAATTGAAAAAAAAAAAAAAGGAATAACCTGATGGGATCAGCTAGCTTACCTCTTTGGTATCCACACTATGTCAAGAGAGTAACAGGAATCACTCAATAATATTTATCAAACATCCATTGTGTGTCAAGCACTATTAGCCTCCAGGGATCTACAGATAAAAAAGAACACCATCCCTGCTTTTGGTTGAACCCTCAGTAGAGGATATATGGGAGGACATAGACAAGAGTCACCCAGTGTGAAAAGATGGGTCATGATCTGTACCATGGGACAGAGTACCCATATCAGTGAGACCACAGAGCCATCAAAATATCCAGTTGACCGAAGCTATTGTTTTCTGTCTTTGTGGCAGTCTGCTGAATCTTCTCGGATCTCATCAAGTAACAGGAATGGCGTTTTTCACGTTGGAATATGTTCAGAGAAAATGGTCCTGATCGTTACCAAACACATTAACTCTTAAATTTAATCTCCATCAAGGTAAGCTCTTAAAACTTTTTGTTGTCTGTTCATGTACTAGTCATCTTGAAATGGTAAGGGTCTAATTACTGTGGGTGACGTGGAAGGTGTTTTGCAGGCCTCAGAAAATGGGCTTCACGTGGAACAGTTTAGAGGTAGAACATTTTAGCATTATGACTGGGGCCATAGGAAACACTGAGTTAGGCATGCCGGCAATTTGCCAGTTATGCTTAACATTTTGTTTTCTTTTCTTAGGCGTGGGGCTGGGGGTGGGGATGTGGATGAGGACTGAGAGAAGGCTAGTCTGCTAGCCTAAATTAATAACGTTTTACCATGCGCTAAGGACCTTCAGCCTCCTCAGGTCACATTTTCTTCTTTTCCCCTTTATCCTGGCATTTAAGACCCTCTATAATCTGGCTTCTTCCTATCCTTTGAAGGTCTGTCTCCTTGCTGTTCCACACATGCTTTAATCAAATCCCCATGCATTTTGTCATACCTTCCCTACACCTGGGAAACACTTACCCATCCTCTCTATTTAGCCACATTCTCATCCTAGCTTAAAGCCCTCCCTTTTATGAAGGCTGTAGCTGAGAGAGCAGAAACCTGGAAATGGGGAGGCAAAGATTCTGATCCCAGCTCTGCCTTTGACTACTTATGGGACAAGGTACTTCACCACTGTGGCCTCAGTTTCCCCATATCTAAAATGAGGAAGTTGAATCAGGTGCTCACTAAGCATCCAGCTCTAAATCTCATGACTTCCTGAGTACCCCAGCTCAAAGTGAGCATTCTTTCCCTTTTTAGAGCTACGTACCATTTGATTATATGTGCCTGTTTCCTCTGTCACTCACCACCCACTCTCTCCACATAATAAAAATAATCATGCTGTCCATTTATAAGGCACTTTACAGTTTGATTTGGTATTCAGAATCTACTCTGTTCTAATATCATCATCAGTCTCCACACTTAGGCATCTTCAGTTGAGGGAATTTTCCTTCTTTGCCTACAAATGTGGTCAGATGTCTCCTCTCCTTAAAACAGAACGGAAAAAATTCTTCCATTCAATCTTTTCTCCTTTGTGTCCAAACTTCAAGAAAGAGTTATCTACATTTCTGCTTCAAGTCTTCACCACCCATTCTTTTATTATATTATATTATATATTACATATATATAATACAATATATATATTATAAAAATAGCATCCACTCATGTGGTACTTTTTAATTGATTTCTTATTCAGAACTGTGTACTCTTATAAAACACATAGTTCTAACAACCTTTGTTATCAGATTCCCAGCCCAGAGCAGATTGGAAGCAGCACATGAGAAGAGGAATTTGGGACCTGCTAGAGGCTGGCATTGTGATAAAAGCAGAGCGATGGGACAGCCTGACATGGGGCAGAATGAGGCTAGAAAACATAGAAAAATTATGGGGAAAAAAAGCAGGCATATGAGACTGCAAAAAATGTGACAACTTCAAGGAATTCACTGTAGGTGCCAGCAGCTCCATATATCTCAGTAACCTCTGGGGGCATCCCATTTGTACATCACCCAGGCCTAATGCTAGTTGGTTACAGCAAAGCGAAACAGCAGTATAAAAGGTAGTTAATTCCAAAGGGGGCAATGTTTTAACTGGATTGGATGGCCACACTTTGGACTACAAAATTCTGAAATAGACACAGAGAATGCAGATAGTATAACCTTTATACTGCTGGTTCCAACTTCTCTCTCCCTATAGCATTCCCATTTTCGTGCTTGATAAGACCCCCAGGAGGTGGAGGATACCTGGGAGAAGGCAGTCATCATTTTTACCAGTCTGTTGGCTCAGTAGTTAGAACCTGGGGTTGGAGAAAGGGGTGGCTTTGGGACAGCTCCCACTTGGGTATGTGACTTTGCAATTTGGAACACTATCCAGAACTATTTGGTGAAACATCTTTATGAGTTACCAGGGGCTTCCCCACACTTTTGTTTTTGTTATTCAGTTGTTTCAGTTGTATCCTACTCTTGGTGACCCCATTTTGGAGTTTTCTTGGAAAAGATAATGGAGTGGTTTGCCATTTCCTTTTTCAGCTCATTTTACAGATTGAGAAAACTAAAGCAAACAGGGTTAAGTGACTTGACCAGGGTCACATAGCCCATAAATGTCTGAAGCTGGATTTGAACTCAGGAGCATGAGTGTTCCTGATTTCAACCCCAGTGCTCCGTCCGCTGTGGCACCTAATTGCCTCCCCACACTTATCTAGTAACTATTTTCTGGTTGGCCAGATGCCCTGATCTCCACTAATCAGAGAGTCAAGGGTTTGGGGGTGGCACAGACTGCTACAATTCAGAAGTAGAGAAGAGTTTGTAGTTACTGGGTGGATTTGGGGAAGGGGTGGGAGTCAGGGGTGGATAGTACAATTCCTAGCTTCCTTAGAAGCATATCTCAGGGGCCACATCCTGTATGAGGCCTTTTCTGAGGTCCCCTTACTTAGCACTCTCAACTTTTTGAAATCATGTTGTATTTATACAAATACCAGTATTGAATAAGACTCTGGAAGTTCCTGTTGTAGAAGGAAACAGTGCCATTAGTTGTTTGCATGCACAGTTTCTAGTATGAGGCAGAGGTGATATTCCTCACCTCATTTACAGGGATGGGTTGGGCCTGCCCCGGGAAAGGAGGAAAGCTAAAGGCCTGGGATGGAAATCCATTGAGAAAGGGTTCTTACTGTCAGGTGACTCCACTAAGTACAAGGGGGCCATCTCCAGTCATCCTGATCTATGTCTTGCCACTGGACCCAGATGGCTCCAGAGGAGAGAGTGAGGCTGGTGACTTTTCACAGCCCTTCCTCACTTAAGTCCGATTCACTTGGGAGTCATGAAGTTCCAGAATTGAGGACAAACAACCACCACTAAGTACTCTAAGTACTCTCTTCCATTGTTGTACAATTATCTCAAAAAAAAACAAAAACAAAATAAACAAAACTGTAACAATAATCTGGATCATAGAGTCAGGGAGGGAGAATTTGTTCCTTCCTCCTCTTCTAGCTGATTTTATCACAAGATGCAAATGTAGATGACAGTCTGTTAACAGACAAGGTATTATACCAGCAATTCCTTTACTAAGTATGAATACCTCTCTCTCTCAAATTTGGAACTACTCCCAGAGGTTTATAAAACAGGCATACCCTTTGACCCAGCAACACTACTACTAGGTCTTTAACCAAAGAAATTTTTAAAAAAGCAAAAGGACCTATATGTACAAAAATATTTATAGTAGCTCTTTTTGCGGTGGCAAAGAATTGGAAAATGAAGGTATGCTCATCAATTGGAGAGTGGCTGAACAAGATGTGGTATATGGTTGTGATGGAATACTATTGTGCTCTAAGAAATGACGAGCAGGATGCTTTCAGAAAAACCTGGAAAGACTTACATGAACTAAAGCAAAATGAAGTGAGCAAAACCAGAAAAACAGTGTACACAGTAACAGCAACATTATATGATGATCAACTGTGAATGACTCAGCTATTATCAGCAATACAATGATCCAAGACAATTCCAAAGGATTCATGATGAAAAATGCTATCTACCTCCACAGAAAGAACTGATGGAGTCTAAATGCAGAGTGAAGCATACTTTATTATACTTTATTTTTCTTGGGTTTTTTTTTTTTGGTCTGTGTTTTCTTTCACAACATAACATATAGGAATATGTTTTGCATGACTGCACATGTATTTCAAATTGCTTGCCTTCTCGATAAGGGGCAGGGGAGTGAGGGAGAGAATTTGGTACTCAAATTTTTAAAAAACTAATGTTAAAAATTGTTTTTACATGTAATTAAAAATATTAAATGCTGAACAGTAAAAAAGTATGTCTCTCTGATTAAGAAAGTAGCAATGCACTCAGAAGAATGAGAATTGGTCAGTGCCCTTAAAGGGATTTAATATTAAGCCTTGGACAGTGGAAAAGTATTCACACTTAGTAAAAATCATTGGAATTAATATATCGTTAATACATTAATATCTCATCTGTAATTACATCCTTTGACTACATCAGTTGAGCTGGAGGATTGGGGGGAGGGCGCAAATCTCCCTTCCCTTACAATATATTTAGAGCTGGATAGGATCTCTGAGGTTATCTAGTTCAGCCCCCTCATTTTACAGTTTAGGAAGTTGAGGCACATGGAGATATGTGGTATGTCTAAGGTTACACGGGTAGTAAGTAGCAGAACCGAGATTGGACCCCAGACCAGCAGTTCTTGACATGTCTTAACATTCCTACAATGCTCTACTTTCTTTACAACAAGGCCAGTTTCATTCACTCAGTTCTCGTTTCCATCCATAAATTAATGATCAGCCTGCTTCTGGGCATCCGTAAGTGATTTGCCCAGATTAACACAGCTAGTAAGTAAGGTTGGATTTGAACCAAGTCTTCCTAACTCCAGATCCATTGCTGTCTCCACTCTCCCACCTAGCTGCCTTTAGTAGTGAGAATTGTGGAAGCCCATGCATTTTCTTTTTCAGCCCCTCAGCTTCCCAGTCTCTTGACACCTAAATAGTAGAAATTGTCTCCCTCTAGAGGAGCTTCTCAGGGAGTTAAGTATGTTCTTACTTTTGGGGCCTATCTTGGTGTGGAAAGCAATAAACAAGTAGAGCATCTTAATGGTGGGTTGTTGTAGAGATAAGATATGGAGCCTTTGCCCCTGTGCTCAGAAGGGATCACTGCCTGATCTAACACTGTCCTGTAGCACCAGAGGCTTGAGGTCCCTCTGCCCTGAGGCAGAGCAGCAGAACAGAATGATGCAAGAACAGGAGTGCACATGTACAATGAACATTCTTTCTGCTCCAGCTCACCATCACTAACAGGTACCACTGCTGAAGGACTTTTCCCAGGTCACTTGGAATAGGGTATTCTAAAACTGGGCCAGACAATATAATCGCCTACTTAACCCTCAAGCCTTTTTTTCCTCCTTCCCATCCTCTTTGCCTGTTGCTGTCATAAAATGTAGCCCAGGAAGCAGATCAGGGATTTTAGACCATTTCTATT